CTTTTTTTTTTTTTTCTCTCAGCCAGCCCTAGGAGGTTTTTTTTTTTAATATGTTGTTGGGGCCCTTTTAAAAAAAAAAAAAAAAAAAAAAAAAAAAAAAAAAGATTGTTTGACATTTTCCTAAAAACTCACACATGGTAGATTTCATGATGGTTAGCTGGTTCAGGAAAGCATTCCCAAACTTCCACCTTCATGCTTCCCACTTGGTGTGAGGTCATTTTCTTGGAATGTTGTTTTTATTTTTTTGCCAAGCATGTCCATCTATTCTTCTGTCCAAACATTTCCGTTTTTAAACTCAGCACTCCAAAGAACATTGTTCCAGAAATCCTGGTCTTTGTCTACGCTCTGCGTCAAACGTAACTCTCTAAATTTTTCTTAGAGGACATAGGTTTGGTGCTTACTTACCTCCCGTAAAAGTTAAATTACAGCAGGCACTGCTGCAGGTGACTCGGCAACATTTTGGATTTTGTAGAGACTTCTTTAAAACGTCTTGGACAGCCAGACTTCGGTAGATTCTCTTTTGCCTCTTTTCAACCTCCAGCCTTTCCATGGTGTTCATCCTCACTTCAAAAGTCAGGAGCAAACCGAACTAAATGTCACAGATTTAAACGGCGTGAATCTCCTCCAGAGGACAAGTGTCATGTAAGGTGATACTAAATTCGGGGTTACTCCTAATTTGCTCAGCAGAAAATAACATTTTATTACATTTTGTAGAAAATTAATAACTCTTGACATTTGTAGGATTTGACATTAAATATGTACATGTCCAAAACATACAAGCTTGGGTGTCTCAAGTTTCAGAATCCTATTAAAATACCAACCCTTGGTGAGGTGCCATGAACGCGTCGGCAAGATGGTTTGTTACTGACATCATAGTAGCTTTTGCACGCCCTTTTCCATTTCCTGTTACGATTTATAGTAATAGTATCACTTCACTACCATTGTGGCACTTGGTTGCCCAGGTGGTTTCAGATTAGCCAAGCCCTTTTTGTTTCAACACAATCACCCAGTTTTGTGATGAACGGGTAATCAAGTTGTTGTTAAGGAGGAGATTTATTTAATTTGTCAGTTAATGTAAATCCAGAAATGGCATGATGCAGCATGTTTCTTCATGGAGTGCTGGCAGCAGTAACATTTGGGAAATATCCAAGCAAAAAACAGGAAATCAGGTGGATTCAGCAGGAGCAGGCGACGTAGATTTAAACATTTCAGATATCGGACAAGTGGATCTCTTAGCTGAATGAACAGAACTGGACTTCAGTAGTTTCAGGGTAGGAGGCCTCAGATGCTCCCTGACAGCTGTCACTTTCAGCTCTGTTTGGCAAAATGTCTCCATAGCTTTCAAAGCTGGCTAACACAGACGTATCTGTGGCAGGTGGTGTATTTACTTATGCATATTAGAAATACCTCCTTAAGTTCTTCTGCATTCAGAGCTGGAATGTTGCCCGTCCTCTTTTTTCTTTCTCCCCCCCCCCCCCCCCCAACCCTCCTGTAATCTGGAAGATTCACACTTTGTGCACAGATTTGATTTAGACAAAAAAATAAATAAATAAAGATTTTAAAACTGTTAGCTTTTTTTTTTTTAGTTGTCTAAATGTCAGAGACAGACGAGGTGACGGTTATAGGGGAAACTAGTCCATAACGAAGACTCATGTTGGTGAGTCACTGCGGGGCATGCAGCTCCAGCCTGGTGACATTCCACCTGTTCAGTGTTACACAAGAAAAACTATCCGAGAGTCACCGAGTTACGTTAACCTGAGCCAGACCCGTTTGTCGAGCTGGACTGTTTCCTTCCACATGACGGGTGAGTTTTCCAACTCAACAGAAACCAGATTCTGCGCGCGTCCTGGACGCAGAAAGGAAAGCATTGTGGGTCTGAATCCAGAAAGTAGCCTTACATCTCGATTATTATTAGTTTTAATAATAAACTTGTACTATTATCGCAACCAGAATGAGAGGCTGAAGAAGACAGTTATTTGGTTCATTCTGGAGATTTTTTTTTTTCTCTTTCGTTTTTTTTTTTTTTTTTTGGATTTAAAAACACGCGATGGATGAGGTGAGTTACTGGCTTAAATCAGCCACGTTAATTTAAATACTTTAAATATTGTTTAGGTAGTGGAAACGGGTATTTAGCTGCTGTATGTAAATGCCACTTGTTAAATATTTCAACCGAGCCGCATTGATATGTAAACCACTTGGACGCGTATTGGTCCTAAATCTGGTCATTTTTAATCATACCCAACTCGGTAGTTATGATTATGATATTATGATGGTCTAAATCGTTCAGAAGTTTTCAATTTACAGTCAGTCCTGGAAACAAACCTTTGTAGGCGATAGAAGTAATAGAGTTGAATCCAATAGAAAACGAAAAAAATAAAATAAAATTGCCAAACATTGCATGGAGGCTCATGCCACCAGCCTTTCTTATTCTGTTATTTTTGTGTAACAGAAATACACACGCACTAAGGTGCGTGTTGTTGGCTGAGGCATTTATAAACTAAAAATAGTGGGATTTTCTTTTTCAAACCATCAATAGAATACACCATTCGGAGGCATCTACTGCAAAATATTTCCAACACCTTTAATATGAAAAAGGAGCAGAATCACGTTAAAACCCATATTTGGATGAATGTCAAATGTACAAAAATGTGTTTATGAAACAAAACAAACAGGGTGTGTGTTGGGGGGTTGGGGGTTGGGGGAGGGGCAGAGAGATTACCCTACCCACATTCTGCACAATTCTCCCTATGGGCAAAAATTTATGTGTATATGTGTCTATGACATAAGGTCAGAAAAAAAGCAAATATGTTGGCTCAGTAAATGTTGTACTCTGTAATCCAGAACATGCTGCTGAAAGATGGATGTTTCACTTTTTGTCTGACACTTTTAGCAAGAGGGTCCATTAGACTTCCAGGCGCTGAGGGCCAAGTTCCAGGACAAACAATTAATGCTGGGGCCACCAAAACCCAAACCTGTTATCCCTGAGAAACCAAAGGTCGTCCCTCCTCCCCTTAGCCCCACTCAGCACCTTCCGCCAGGAGCACGCCCCTCCCTGCTCTCCTCCATCAACCAGGCCTTGGACTCAAAGTCGGTCAATGCCCCCAGAGTGATATTCAAGGATGAGAGCAAGGACAACAACAAGCTTTCTACGCATGGTAACTCAAAGCCCAAAGACAAATCTGATGGGAAGACGAAGGAGAGCAAGGAGAAGCTGAATGAAAACTCATCGGATCACAAAGAGAAGAACGGAAAGAAGCATCCGTCCTTTGGGACACAGAAGGAGAGCACAGCCGAGCCGGTGCCAGGCTTGCCTCCTCCGAAGTCCAAAACACAGAGGAAGAAGAATATTCTTGGTTTCATAAAGTCTTCCAAGAAGGATCCAGCAGCGACCTCGGCTGACTCAATCCTAGATTCGACGAATGTGAACCTTCCTGGACCTACACCGCTGATCCCATTGGCTTCTGACGCTGACGAGGAGGAGTCTATATACTCAGTACCGAAGCAGATCCCACGAAAGATCATCATCCCTGAATCCAATGATGCAGTGGACCTGATGACACTCTCTCCAATTCCCGACCCTCCTGACTTCTCTCCTCCGCCTGCCATGATCCCAGCTACCCCAGCTTTCAAAATCCCACCCCCTCAGAGCGAAACCCCACCTCAGATTGAAAGTCCTGTTTTGTCAGTTTCTGACCCGCCCAGCCAAAACAGAATTGCTCCCATTCCTTCCATTGATGCTCGCCCTTCTCGCCCAACCATTCCTGCTCCCTCTCCTCCACTCGCTAATGCGCACCCTCTTTCCGTTGCAACTCCTTCCCCTCCAGCCGTTGTGACTCCCTCCCCTTCAGATGCCGTGGATCCTTCTCCTCCATCCACTGCTCCTCCTTCCCCTCCACCCAGAGCTGTCCATGCCCCACCCAGAACTATTTTCTCTCCTCCACCGAGTTTTGCCAACTCTGATCCTTTTCCCGAGTTCTCTGCCCCCTCCACCGAGCTTCAGGCAGCAGCTGGTTCTGACGTGGAGGTGGCACTGCCAGCTGCTGTGGAAGCGATTTACTCTACTCCTTCCAAACTAGAACGTCCCATCTCCGCCCTATCCGCCCTGGAGAGGGCGGAGGACATGGATTCTGGGAAGGGAACCCCTCCGAGTGACCCGAGGATCTTAAGTGCTCTGGAGAAGGCACGCAAGAAAGCCGCCAGGTAGAACTCCCTTCCAGGAGCTTGGTTCATTTAGCCAAGTTTGGTATGCAAATGGTCACTTACAAGTATGCTTAATCTGCTTCCAACCCCATGTCTAGCCCCACTCCTCCACCCGAAGACTTTCCTTATCACCTGAATCCCGCCCTCAGCGATGGAGAGTTGCCGCCCTTAGGGGATGAGGGAAAGAAACTCCCATTGATTAAGTCAGAAGTTGACTGCCCTGACCACAGTGAGTTTCAACTCAGCTTTGTGTCTTTTCCCACTGTCTTGGAATTTAGTCTGAATTTATTTCACCTCAACATGACGAGCAGAACAAACTTCCCAATTATCAGGATCTCAGGTATGTGCTGTACTCTACAGAATTTGAAGGTTTAAATTGAACCAGAAACGTGGTGGTATTCATTGGATTAAGTTTAGAGTAAAGGTGTTAGAATAAATCTGTGAAGCCTCCCACACAAACAGTGACCCAGCATTCTTCTTCAGTGACAGAAACAACTGAGCTGTGAAGGTATGACAGCTATGAAAGAGATGCTGGGTTTCCTTAAAGTCTGGTAAGCAGGACTCGGACACAGCTTACTGAAATTTAACCTAGACTGTCATGGAGACTCTATATCCAGGTCATGAACTAATTTTTTTCCTTTTTTTTCTAAATCAAATTTTTCTAAATGAAACATAAAAAAAACTGTTTGAGGAAGTGCTTACATGTTAGAGTTGCAGATTTATTTTGTACTTTTACCTTTTCTAGAGCAGGAAACTAAGTTATAAAACTTGAAAGTAGACCAGACACAATACAAGGAAGACTTTTCTTGTTGACAAATGTCTGACTGAAGACAACAACTTCCACATTGTTTGACAAGTTGGATTTCCATGTGAAATCAATTTTCTGTTCCACTTGTTTTTTTCTTCCTCTTCCTTGTTTTATACAAGTTTTAAAGGGATATGTTAGATTGGTATAAAGTGAGATCCTATAAAAATAAGCAAGGCCAAGGCAACTTAATTTATTAGAACATTTCAGCAAACAAGATAATTCAAAGAGTTTTACATTATGAAAATAACAAAGGAGTTCATTGCAATGGTACAGGAAAACTAGACTGCAAACTACAATTATTGATGTTTCAGTTAACATTAGACAGAACAATCAACTCTAACTAAATGGGTTTTTAACATTGATTTATAAGAACTCATGTTTCAGCATTTTTATTAATTAAATTAATGGTTCTGCTATCTAGAACATTTCATATCACTGTGAGTATTCATTTTTGTAGAAAAAATGAAGAAATCATCAAAGCAGAGGAAAGCGGACAGCTGATCATACCGGCTTTCTGTAGCTGATTTTAGAAATTTAAAGCAACTCAAATAGAAAATGATTGTAGTAGGCCTATCAGTTTAAATAAAACACTGTATTAACAATCAGCACTTTAACAAAAGCTTTAACTTTTTATTTAGCCTGCTGGGTGTAATCAGTGTTTCTGAGTAAAACCAAGCCAACTAGCTATTAGCATACATGCTAACTTAACAGATAATACATGGTGTCATATTGGCATAACTTTTGCATGTAAGCATGGATTTCCAGGTGTTGTAGTTGTTTTCACATTCCTGGAGGAATCACTGACCTCTTGAGTTTGAGTTGTTTTAAATTTCTAATCATCACCTTTAAAGTGGGGGCTCCTTTACATGCTAGCATACATGCTAGCATGTAAAGTAACTATGAAGTATTTCATAGTTATTGTTTACATTTTCAAAGGAGAATGTTTGCTTTACTAAACTATGTTGGTTCTGCACTACTAGCTACTAAGCTAGCCAAGAGAGGAACAAACTTTCTGAGAAGTGTATAGCATAAGCTTGTATAGAAACATATTTGTAGCTAGGCTGAGAAAACAATGGATAAAGTGTCAGTCTGTGTGACCAGCTGTTAGCTTTCCTCTGCTATGAAGATTTCTTTTCCACATAGTCATGGTGATATGACACCTTTGTACTAGAGATAAGACAAGAATGACAAAACCGCACTTCAGCAAATTCAAGCTATCCCTTTAATGTGAGACATTAAGGTGTAAATCAGCTGAACAAATGTAAACTATTGTGATGCGATTCCTCACAGGGGCAGCTTCTCCGGCATTGCAGAGCCTCACAGAGGAAGGATCTAACCCTCCCCTTGTTGCGGTTACAGCTCCTCCACCCAGACAGGTCCTGCCAGACCGAGAGACTTTGGGTCCGGCTCCACAGAAACCTAAAAGACCTCAGTCTGCCAACTTGAGTCAATTCAACCCCCCTCCTCCTATCATACCTGAAGGTAGTTTCACATCCACCGACGTTGCGCTTGGAGATCCTTTCCATTCACTCAGGGATGCATTTCTCTATCTCTGTCACGCAGAGATTCCGGTTCCACTTGAGTATTTAGAGGCCGAAGCCACAGACGATTTGGAGGACGCTTACAGCCCAGAGCTGCCGGTGTCCAAATGTGGGAATGAGGAGCACATGGGTGCCGACGTTCCAGACAAACCAACCCAGACACAGTTTTATGGCAACGGGATAACTCATCCAGAAACAGAGGTCCAAACTAAGACGGCATATGGAGAAATTAAGCTGGACAATCCTCTGCAGGAGCAATCCCTAAAACCCACTGAGGACTACTCTACACCCAAACAGGAGTAAGATCAGGAAGTCCAGCTACATATTTATTCAATTTAAAGTGGCAAGTTGTATCCCAAGAAACTGTAAATCGATATTTTGTTCTTTGCAGCCCTCAAGCACTGCTCCACAGCAGTGTGTACGAAAGCAACGACGACGTGTACGAAGCCATTAATGTGAGCTCTGGAAAAAAGAAGGGGAAGAGCAACAAGAAACACAAAGGGGCCCCAAAAAGTCAGTCTAACACATTCTTCCTGTTTAATAAATTCTCATGCTGGAAATTTATATTACATTTTGGAGAATTGATTGGAAAAGTTGCAATATGGAGAAAAAAATATACTAGATATAAACCCAAGTTGTTGGTTTTTTTGCATTTTACAAGCACAAATAGAAAGCTTTGACTTTTAGGGATTGTTCGGCAAAATAGTTGTACTGAAGCTCTTTTTTACATCTTCATATTTTGCTTCTTCAGCAAGAATTAATTACTATTTTCCAAACAAAATAACCACATTTTCTGAATGTGAATGTTTTACATGTTGCTTTTACGACTTTAGTTGATTAATGAATGTTTTTGAAGACACCGTTTCAGATTTCTGCACGCTTTAACATGACCGCTTTAATTCACAGATCCATATGTCGAATCTGGACAGGAAACGGTAGGCACCGAGGAATTAAAGTCTTGTTAGAGTTTTTGTATTTTCACTTTTGTCACATAACTATAGCTCCAGATTTTGGGTTATATCTCAACTAGAGTCACACATATAGAGACTGATTTTTTTTTCTACTTTTCTAAATACCTCAGTCAGATTGAATGGAGAATGATCAACTAATACTCATTTTTTTAAAGATTTCCCTCAGATTTTCATTTGGATTTCGGTCCTGACTTTGACTGAGCCGTTTTCTACTGGGTTTCTTTAAAAACATTTAATTTCCTCTTGACATTCTGACTATAAAAGTTGGATTTAGAGGTGCAAGTTATAGATTAATGAGTTAATGTAAAATCGATTTTAAGCGGCCATTTTCTTAAAAAGCTTTCTCTTGCGTCATGAGGGTCGACCATGTTTCCACAACATGCTAATTTTTCCATAATAAATTCAATTAACAAAACAAAATTCTGAAATTTTAACATTACTTGTGTCAGCTGTATTAAATACTGACTAAATAAATAGAAAATTGTGTTTTTTTCTCCCATTATTAAGCTGAGATGTGTTTACAAAATAGCACAAAACAGGAATTTCTCAGGTTGCCGAACAGAAAAAAGATTAAAAGAATAAAACATGTGCAACACTTAGCTCCCCAGGAACAGAGAGATTTTCACACAGACGTACCGTCTGCAGCAGCTCTTGAAGGAAAGCTGAAGTAATGTGACAAAATGTGAAAATGTTTAAGGCGTTTTTTATTCTCTCAACGGGCATTCACCTTCAAAATCAGAGGCGTAATGTCTTTTTGTTTTTATCTAAAAAAAATTAATTCTTATCTCTGTGAATATTTACAGGTTCAGGAGAAAACCAAGATGAGCAGGTTCGGCAGGTAGGACCTCGGTTTTTTTGTTTTGTTTTTTTTGTTTGTTTTTTTGGACCCACTTCTCCAGTTTTCATTCCTCCTGCTCTCCCGAGAGTTTCTGAGGAGAGTCGCGTTTCCCTCCCTTGTAATCACCCCCTGCTGTTCAGACATGCCGCGAGAGAAACAGCTTTCGTGTGCGTCTCCTCTCCCCGCAGGAGCGAGAAGAAGCACACCTCGGAAAAGCCGGATGAGAAGGAGCTGAAAAAGAAGGAGAAGCAGCGGCTGGAGAAGGAGAAGAAGGAGCTGAAGGAGAAACAGGAGCGGGAGAAGAAAGAGCAGAAGGAGAGGGAGAAGAAGGAGAATGAGATGAAGAAAAAATTCAACGTGAGTCCTGTTATTTTGACAGAAAACAGAAAGAGGAGGAGGAGGAGGTGTGGACGGTGACTGAGTGGCAGAGGAGGAGGGTGGAGTAAACGTCTGGCCTCTCAAACCTGTCAGGATTCATTCCTCGCTGTGGAAGAGCTGAGCAACATGTGCAGCAAGAGTAAACACGGGTTTCACCGCTGGCAGCACCTTCATCACATTCTTAGGCCTCTGTTTCTCTGTCTTATGTAGCAGAAATGTTGGAACAAGACTTTAGTTTCTACGGAGACCAGATGATGAAAGACCTTTCAGTATTTTAATCAAGTGTTTAATCACCGGTCCTGAATAGCGTTACCTCAGACGATGGGCGAGACACAAAGAAATGAATCATTTTTTGCAAACTGGTTTCAGCTGCCGTGTTCTGGTTTCTTTTTTTTCTCAGTGGCTCACAGACGTGTGTTTTGTTTTTTTAAGTCCAATTATAATTTTAAGGTCAGTGATATCTGGTCCAGACAGTATGCATACAGTCCGGAAGAAAGGCAAACTGAGTGAATGGACACCTTCATCAAATTACAGTTCTTTTTTTACTCAACATTTTAAGCATAAATATGCTTTACTGTCATAATTGTGGTGACGCAAAGAGGACATCGCTTGTTTCTTTCTTTAAATCTGTGTGAAGGCACAGATTTAAAGTCAACAGCCCTAAAACAGAGACAGAAACTTCTCTTAATGTGTTAAGATAGAAATTAACAAAACAATAGATGAAGAAAAAAAAAATGTGCAAAATTTAAAAAAGTTGATGGTTCCACGTCAAACTGGTTTGGGCTTCACTCCCCTGAATTCCATCAAATTGGTTGTTGATGAGTTTTTTTTTTTTTTTTTTTTTTTTCCATGACTCATCACCAGCAGCTGTAAGCAGCTGATCCTGATGTGAAACAGGTGGTTGCAAAATGTTTCACAGTCTGTATGAAGCTAAATGACAAATTAACGTTAAGAAATATCTGAAAACATTTTCTCTGCTTCAAAATGCGTTTTGCCTAAGCATCTGGAACAAAACGTCAATGTCAAGGACATTGACCTTTGCCCCCCAAGTCCAACATTTCAACTCAGTCACTTTCTGTGCAAACAGTTCATTTAGGGTCTTTATAGTAGTTCCGTACAATCAAGTCCTTATAATTGCACTATTCTTCACAATGGTGAGTTGTTTACTCATTGTCTTTTTCCTTGAATTCGTGTTAAACGATCCCGCTAGGTTAGATTTAATTAACATGACTACTTGGCCAAGTCAAAGCGGGGCCACTGTGCAACATCTCCATTTGTGTGTTTCAGATCACAGGGCAGGAGGAAGCCATGTACCAGGCAAAGGTAAAGGTCACCGCAAAGGGCCGTAAGCAAGATCTGCCCATCAAGAGCGGCGATGTCGTCAGCATCATCCGAACCACCGAGTGCCCCAAGGGGAAGTGGCTGGCCAGGGACAGCAGCAACACCTGTGAGCCGACAGCAGAGTGTTCGTCTCAGGGAAAGAGAGTACGACGAAGCGACTCGCCTACAAAAATCTGTGTTTGTTCACTCTAGACGGGTACGTCTCTGTGGACCACGTGGAGATGGACTTTAAGGAGATTTTGGAGCTGGGAAAGAAGACTCCCCGCAACAGCGCCGTCATCGAGACCGATGCCGCCATAGACCGCAAGTACGTGTCCCCACCTCAACACCGTGTCTGTTAGCAGGTAGAGGAGAAGCCGACGTTGTCCTGACGACGAGCGTCTGCTTTCCGTTTCTTTCGCAGGGTGTTGAATCACTTCAGTCGTTCGCCGGCAAGCTGTAAGTGTTCGCGAGTGGCGCGCGTTGAATTGGTCAGTGGCTGTTTGATGCAGACCGCTTCTTCATGCTGTCGTTGATGTGTTCAGTCTCAGATGACAGCGAGGAGTGGACCTGCGACGACGAAACGCTCTCACCCAACCCTGATGCTTCTGACCAGTTGCCAGGGTAACCTGACATCCTCGCTGTAAAAACACAAAGACAAGACAAAACTATCTAAAAAGTAACTTTTCAGCAAGATGTATAGGCATATTTTAAGCAAATACTTATAACTGGAAAAATATCTTCCTATAAGTGAAAGTATCTGGATGTAGGACTGGTACTTCTTTTAATCTATATTCAATAATTATCTTCTTAAATCAAGCTATTGTAATATCGTGCTGAAAAGTTACTTTTGAGTGAGTTTTGTCTTATTTCAAGTGTACTAACGAGACGAAACGAGACAAATACTTTGCAAGATTTAGTTTTTGCAGTGCAGCCCGATTGCCACTTTTTTTTTGACACAGTGATTGATTGATTAGTTCTTAATCACATCTTACCTTCTCTTCCCTCCTCAGGGTTCACACATGGGCCATCTCCATGCCAGAGATGGGTAAGATACACATCATAGATTATACTCCATCTTTGACAGGCTTACTTGAAACACTGCCTTGAAGGCAAATGATCGAGTCAATGAAATGTCGTACAACTCATTTCCTGAAACTCTACAATCATTCTGATAATATTTTGTTCGCCGTAGTAAACTGGTAGCAAATCGTGAACTGCACCTCTTTAGGTACCGCAACACAAATCGTGGTTTCTAAAATAAAGGGAGGTGACTTTGAAAT